TCTCAGGGTTTGAAAAACACTTAAACTTTCCATCTTTAAGTGAAACACTCTTGGTACACTGACATCAACCATCAACAAATCACTCATACTACCCTACTTCAAACTTATTTAACTTGAAAATAGTGACATATGTCGTCTCCTACTTTAATGAGAAATAATAATTCTTTAGATAACGTCTTAAGAAAACAATAGTTTGATATTAATTAATCAGAAACATTTATTTATATAAATCATGAATCAAAATAATCTTACATATTGAATAATGTTGATCTCAGCCATACTTAACACATGGGCTTTCCATGTCAATTTATCAAGATCATAATATTGTGATTTTTGTGTCATATCAACTTGCAAGTTAGATGTTGATAACAAAGGAGTCTCTCATTTAAAACCGTTAAACAAAAAACATAAAATTAACTACTAAGACTTTTTATTTTTTATTTTTATATAAATTGAAAAAATAAAATAAGATTAAGTCAAAGCAATGATATGTGATTGAACTTTTTATCTCATTTACAGTAACATCGTTGGTTGTTAATATTGTACTATTCCATGCATTGGACATAGTCAATGGAAGACTTCCTATAGATGTGTAAGTTAGTATAGTGTAATTCAGTTATATAAATAAACTGGGAAAACAAATTGTACAATTTACTATAACAACTATGAAGCATCAATACCTTCGGCTTCCTTGATTCGTGCATTTTGCAAAAGTACAATGACATGATTATGGTGATTGTTATTGTTGTATTAATTGTAGAATTGTGAAGCAAGTTCACCCCAAAGGGTATACTAAATTAAAGACCTTCATCTATAAAATAATCAAGCAAAACATGATTTGTGTTAATAAAACATATGATATAAAATCTATTCAAATATATAATTCACATCTTGTTATAAGAATAATAATATAGAATACCTCATATTGGTTAGGGTAAAGACAACCTTACTCTTGTTGTTTGACGAAGTCATCTGTGTCTGAATGATTTCATAAATTACTCCATAACATCTATGGATAAACCATATTGTTATAGAAAGCAAAAAAAACAAAATCTAATTTATTTCAAATGAAAACAATCAAAGTTTCAAAACCTAAATTACCAACTAAGAATTTAGTTTGAAACTTTCCAACAAGTTTGTCATCAAAACTAATCAAGTGCATGTGATTATGGGGAATGTCTGACAAATCTACAGATTTTGTAAAAGATCAACTTGAACTTATGAGCGATTGTCTTGAAGGAGAAATTATTTTTAGCAACCTTAACGTTCTGCATAACATATGTATTTTTCTATAATAAGAGTAGACTTATGTTTCTATACCAAATCTGGTGGTACGGTGACTTGAATTATGCCGCACTATAAAATCATACAAAGAAATAAACCCCATGAGATACAAAAGCCTATTTATGTATGAAACAAAAGAATATCCATATACTAGATAGTCAAAAACAACTTACCTTTGCATCCATTATAACCATTTCCAAGTTCTGTTGTTGGACATGCTTGTGACAAAAAATAAATCTCTAATCCTAACAGTAAGCTTCTACAAATACTTGAAGCCATTGACATCCTTAACATTCCCAATTGGACGTGCCATTAATTACAAAATCGACCTAATAATAAACAAACACATTATTACATAAGATGAAACGAACCAATCAAATTGTGTTGGTTAGTGGTATTTTGATAATAAACAAACACATTATTATAGACCATTAAACAAACTAATCAAACACACAAAACAAACCCAATCAAAAAATATAATAAACCCAGTTAAATAGTAAATCTAATGAGAAGGGGAATGACATATTCAATATCATTTGAAAACAACAATAAGCACAGAAGCAATTATCAAACTACCAATTTGAACTTTAAAATGAACCATTAACAGATAAGGGAAAAATAAAGAATAAAATCAAATGTTTAATCTCTTACTAGCGACAAAAATGGATGAGTTTGTGTACGAAAATCGTTAAGGAGTGTTAATGGAAAAAGAAATATGCAAGATAGAAGTTAAATAGTAGCCGCCGAGTTTATGTTATGAATGGATGATTGTATGATATGAATGGATTCAAGCAAACTCTTGCATATCAATATGGGCAAGCGGAAGTGAAAGATGTATAGTTGCATCTGAGTTTGATTTTCCAATGGAACTTTGTAGCTATCAATATAACTTTTGAGTGACTTTAGATATGTAATTGAAAAAGAGAGTTTCTTATGGTATCCTATATAGGGAAAAATAACCCTATTAAAAACCGAAAATACCTCCCGAAAGTGTATTTCTGGCGTGCACCCTAACCCTCATCAAGCCATACAAAATTTCGTCACACCCATGTTTAATGTAAGAAACATACTGGATATATAACACTGGTAGGAACTGGAGATAAAAATCCGGGATATTTGTGCGGGAAAATCCAAAAAAATTGCCACCTTTAAACCAAATATACATTTTAGATTTATTCTGAGAACCAAAAGCTTAAAACAACAAGGTCCACGGGGTATTGATCATGCTCATTTCAAAAGGTGACCAAAATACTCTTAAGAAATCCTAACATTCTCAATCCCATTTTTCACTCAAAATCAATATTTGTTTGGTGCATTATACCAAAAGAATATAAAGAGGACAATTTTGCATAAGCTTTAGAGGTTTGTCGGTCAATGTTAAAGGACCAAGAGAACATGTCAAAAGTCATTATTACCGACTGTGATACAACACTGATAAATTCTGTTGCGAAGGTGTTTCTGAGTTCTTCTGCATTACTTTGTAAGTATCACATTACTAAAAATGTGATAAGCCGGGTAAAACCTGCGATAGGGACATGTTAGATTGAGATTGAAGAGGGGTTAAGTCGGGCGTTGTTGTGGAGAAAATTATGGCTGCTTGGAATGTTATCATAAATGCATCTACCAAATATTTATATGTTGATGTTGTTATACATTTAAGGAATGTGTGCGATAAATATCCTGATTCACCAAGTGAAAATTCTACTATGAGGAGTCCATTGTATTTTGAACACGTTGACAAACTTTTTCCTGATTCACCGACACCAAAATCTCAGAAAAAGGTATTCTAAGGTGCTTGCATAAGCAAACCTCCAACTCCATCGCCTCCACCAAAAATACCATTCATTGAGGAGATGCTTATTTTTATGCACAATCACATTAATCAGATTGTCAATGTTGATGGTGACAGTAATTATGGTTTTCGGGCTATTTCTTCTTTACTCGTAAAGGGGAAGAGGATCACACATTTGTACGCCAAACTTTTATCCAAGAGTTGAGGAGTCATAGAGATTTGTACACACGGGTGTATGGGAATAAGAATAAGGTTGCAGAAATATATAACACTCTTGTATCATCTATGGAAGCATTTGCACCGGAGAACAAATGAATGCGTTTATCTGAGATGGGTCATCTTATTGCAAGTGCGTATGAGAGGGTGTGTATTAATCTTACAAGATACAATTTCTCAGAATTTTTTTTCCCATTGCACACTGCTCCAACATCTAACCAACTAATCGTATCATTTGTGTTGGGTGAGTTTCAAATCCCCGACATTTTGTTCAAGTGTATTTGAAATCAGGATGTCCTATACCAACTATATCACCAGAGTGGGTGAATCATTATACAAACCAATTCGATATTTGGTCAGACCAGTTTATTGAAAGGATGCAAGAGTACAACAAGTTGAAGAACATTAAAATTGCAAAAAACAAGGAAAAGTCAAATGGTGTACCACCTGTGGATTTGTCGGGAGACAATTACTTTGAATCTTTTAAGTAGTCAAATATGACTTTGATGTATATGTATTTTTGTTAATGAATTATTACGTGGAATATCCCCATTTTGGTAGTTATGAAATCTATTGTTATATTTTTATTAATTATGCTCTTTCTGTTATTTCTCTGTTTCTGATTTTTAGTACCAGAGACTTTACCGTAAATGTACTTCCGGTTTTCAGTTAGGGTGTAACCGGAAATGTATTTCCGGTTTTCAGTTAGGGTGTAACCGGAAATGTATTTGCAGTTTTCATTCTGTCAGCAGATAGGGTGTGTGTGGTCCATAACATCCTCAAACTACTATATAAGAAATTCATCCCTCATGTCTAAACACTTCAAAAAATGAATATCGTTTGACATGTTGGAAAGGTTCACTTCGTTATCGGGGATCTACCATCAAGAGAATTCAAGACTAACAAGTACGAACCGCTTGAAGATCTTCATCACACAATACAGTGACTTTTACTATTTGACGACAATAGAATTTTTTTGAAGATTGAGTACCGCTCTCTATCCGTTAACAACGACGGAAAGCTTGAGTTCATCAACAAAGAGATAAAGACAAATACTGATTTACGGGCTATGTGGGAAATATTTTTCGGTTACGACGAAAAATTTCAAATCGAGTTTGATGTGATGATTACAAGAACGACCGATGAAATTCTAAAGTTGTTGCAACGTCCACCCGGATGTTGAAGTGTAATGTCGCATATATGTTTGAATCCCATATGTATTTCTTACTTTATGTAATTTTATGTTTTGTTTAAGAATCTTGATATAATGTGTAAGTGTTGCTTTCCTGCATTCTATAATGAATAATATCAGAAATACACTTTCAATTATAAACCAGAAAAATATTTCCGATTTTAGTTATTTTTAATTAAATGTAGGTGCATCACGAAATACATTTTGGATTTCTGAAAACATATTTAAAAATTTACACTAGTGCTTAAGAAATACTTCAAGTGCATTAAGAAATTCTCATTGAAAAATGAGAAGTTGTGCAAATTAATTCTACATAAAGACCATGAAATACAATCATACAGAATAAAATTATAGAAATGCTAACAGAGTATTCTAGGAACACTTAGTATTTAAAATGGAATAAATTTGAAATATTGACTTTTGCCGAAGCTCAATTCCATTATCCAAAACATCAAACAAAACCTCTGATTTTCAGCATCACTCTTATCCATCTTATGTTACTTTCTTCACCTTTGCATGAGATATTTCTCTCATCTTCGTCCATGCACCACCACCACCCACGCTACAATGCTCAGTTCAATCCTTCCCATAAACTCTTTCAACTTTTCTCACAAACCCATTTCCCTCGAAGACTCTTTTCAATCCCTAACCCATTTTTTCACCCACCCATCATCATTCCCTCTTCAACAAGCTTATTCTCAAGCTCTCGACCTCTGCGCTTCCCAAAAAGCTCTTTCTCAAGGCCAACAGTTACATGCCCGTTTCCTCAAAACCCAAAACTCCCTCGATTCTCTCTTTCTAAACACCAAGTTTGTCCACATGTACGGAAAATGTGGCTCCTTTCTTGATGCAGAGAAACTGTTCGACAAAATGACTGAACGAACTATTTTCACTTGGAATGCAATGATAGGTGCGTCAGTGTCAAGTGGTAGATATTTTGAAGCGATTCAATTGTATAAAGAGATGCGGGGTCTTGGGGTGTCACTTGACGCTTTTACTTTTCCTTGTGTGCTCAAAGCGTGTGGTGCTCTTAATGAGAGGCGTTTGGGGTGTGAAATTCATGGTTTTGCTGTTAAGTGTGGTTATGGTGCTTTTGTTTTTGTGTGTAATGCACTTATTGCTATGTATGCTAAATGTGGCGATCTTGGTGGAGCTAGGATGTTGTTTGATAGTGTTTTGGTTGAGAAAGAGGATCCTGTTTCGTGGAATTCTATTATTTCTGCACATGTTTATGAGGGTCAGTGCTTTGAGGCGTTGTCTCTTTTTAGAAGTATGCAGGAGGTTGGCGTTGAGATTAATTCATACACTTTTGTTTCGGCTCTACAAGCTTGCGAAGATCCAACCTTTATTAAAATGGGTATGGGGATACATGCTGTTATTTTGAAATCTAACTTTATCACTGATGTGTATGTTTCCAATGCTTTGATTGCTATGTATGCAAAATGTGGTGAAATGGAGGATGCTGAAAGAGTTTTTAAAAGTATGCTTTATAAGGATATTGTATCATGGAATACGCTGCTTTCGGGTATGGTCCAAAAGGATCTAGATAGTGATGCTCTAAACTACTTTCGGGATATGCAAGATTCTGGTCAACAGCCTGATCAGGTGTCAGTTCTAAACATGATTGCAGCATCGGGCAGAGCGGGAAATTTATTGACTGGGATGGAAGTCCATGCTTATGCAATAAGAAATGGAATAGATTCTAATATGCATATTGGGAACACCCTGATAGATATGTATGGGAAGTGTTGTTGTGTTAAATATATGGGCAATGTTTTTGAGTATATGTCCGAGAAGGACTTGGTTTCTTGGACTACAATTATTGCTGGCTATGCACAAAATGAATGCCATATGGAAGCCTTTAATCTGTTGAGGAGGGTCCACTTAGAAAGGATGGATGTTGATCCTATGATGATTGGAAGCATTTTGATGGCTTGTAGTGGGTTGAAATCTGAAAAACTCATCAAAGAAATTCATGGTTACGTTTTGAAAAGAGGTTTAGCTGATATTTTGATGCAAAATGCCATTGTCAATGTATACGGAGAAATCACACTCATAGATTATGCAAGACATGTGTTTCAATCAATTAACTCCAAAGATGTCGTGTCTTGGACAAGTATGATTACTTGTTGTGTTCATAATGGACTTCCAATTGAAGCTCTTGAACTTTTCCACTCTTTGAAAAAAACTAATATTGAACCTGATTCGATAACACTTGTCAGCGTACTATCTGCGGCTGCTGCTTTATCTTCATTGAAGAAAGGGAGGGAGATTCATGGATTTCTGATTAGGAAAGGTTTCTTCCTTGAGGGATCACTTGCTAACTCCCTGGTGGACATGTATGCTCGGTGTGGAACCGTGGAGAACGCAAGAAATATATTCAGCTATGTTAGACAAAGAGATCTAATTTTGTGGACTTCTATGATTAATGCAAATGGAATGCATGGTTGTGGAAAGGATGCCATTGATTTATTCAACAAAATGACTGATGAAAATGTTCTTCCTGATCACATAACCTTCTTGGCTTTATTATACGCTTGCAGTCATTCAGGGTTAGTAGTTGAAGGTAAGAGACTTTTTGAAATAATGAAATATGAATATCAATTGGAGCCCTGGCCAGAGCATTATGCTTGCCTGGTTGATCTCCTTGGTCGATCCAATTCTCTGGAAGAGGCTCACCATTTTGTGAAAAACATGCCTATTGAACCTTCTGCCGAGGTCTGGTGTGCTCTTCTTGGGGCTTGCCGTATTCATTCAAATAAAGAATTAGGAGAGGTTGTTGCGAAGAAGCTCTTACAATTAAACACAGTGAATTCAGGAAATTATGTTCTGGTATCAAACACTTTTGCAGCAGATGGAAGATGGAATGATGTGGAAGAAGTTAGGTTGAGAATGAAGGGAGTTGGATTGAAAAAGAAACCAGGATGCAGTTGGATTGAGGTTGAGAATAAGATTCACACCTTCATGGCAAGAGACAAGACTCATCCACAGCGTGATGAAATTTATCTAAAATTGGGCCTGCTTACAAAAGTTTTGAAAGAAAAAGGTGGTTATGCGGCTCAAACGAAGTTGGTATTCCACGATGTTTGTGAAGAAGAGAAAACACAGATGCTTTATGGGCATAGTGAAAGGTTGGCACTTGGTTATGGTCTGCTTGTTACCCCTAAAGGTACTTCTCTTCGGATCACAAAGAACCTTCGGATTTGTGATGATTGCCATACATTCTTTAAGATTGCGTCTGAAGTCTCCCAACGGACCCTTGTTGTAAGGGATGCCAGTAGGTTCCATCATTTTGAAAGAGGGCTTTGTTCATGTGGAGATTTCTGGTGACCATTTTGATTATTATTATTATTATGTAAAAATAGAACATATGCCCCCCTTCTCTGGTTCCTTCCTGTTCCTTGTGGTCGTTGAAACTTCTCTTCAAATTTTGTGTCTCTCTACATGACATGTACAAAATGGGTAAACAGAGAATGGGAATGCTCAGAAGTTAGTAATACACTTTAAGGAGCCATCGGCCATTGGTTTGAGATGGAAAATAATAGGATAATGCAAAGATGCTTTGGCAAGTAAATGATGTGAGTTCCAAATTTTGGAGTTTTGATTCGTGTTAGTGACAAGGAGAAGGATGGAGGTAACTACTAAACTAGAAAATACTTGACCGGATGCTCAAGGGGAGGCTCCTTTTTGTGCCAATGTGTATGAATGAATTGTTGTATAAGAAGTTATACACTTGTGAGTTGGGCCCGTGAAGATCATGTCCTGCAACTACTACTGTTTTTAAAGAGGTCAAGCTACCAGCAAGCTTCCACGAGGCTTCTTTATGAAAATTGTGGACTTACTTTTGCCTTTGGAGTTATTACAGTTAGCTTTTTGAGTTACTCTGAATGTCCCGAAGTCATTGGAGACAACAACAATTGGCTGCCTTTGGAATTTTTAGTTGTTCCAGACCTTCCTCAGCTGGCTCGATTATTTTTAAGGAAACCATCACCGTAGCAATGTGACATTGTGGGTCCAGTTATTCCTTTCCCTGTTTTGTTTGTGGTTAATGAAGTTCACCATGAGTATCAGATTGCTGTTTCATCTCATGGCTCTATGCGCCCGATGACAAAGAGGAAACCTGGGTTGATTCTTTGAAATAAAATACTTTTTCATCATATTGTCCAGTTGCCTTTGATTACTCAGACAATGTACATGGAAACTCCGGTTTTACTGATATAACTTACGATACATTTATTTTCATGTTTCGGATGATTCTTGTGAGCAGACTGAACCTGTTGGAGAAGAGATGTTTGACTATCTTTCTCCCCATTGAGTTGAGGCTTTATGCTCCCATGAAGTTTGAACATCAGAGTTTAAAGACATACACTATTGGAAAGTTTATTACTTTTATATGCAAGTCTTCCCTTGAAGAGTTAGCTCCGAGGTGTTAATATCCTTAATTGTCCATATATTAATGTTAAAAAGGTTCTGATCTGGTTAGTCCTAGTGCATGACTATGATCAACTTCTTACTTTTTTTCTTTGATAAGGAGTCCTTATTAAGGACTACGATTGACTCCTTTGGGGGAAAGATGTCTATATACTTCATTTAATTCTGAAAAGTAAGGGAAAATATTGTTGATCTCTTGCATTGTGCAACTTTTTGTATAATGTGAAGTCTATTTTTGTCTTCAATATGTCTACTAAATTCAATAATAGTTATCATAAAACTTATTTGTAGACTATTCCTCCTCAATATTAAAAAATGAACTCAAGATGTTTTCATTCATCAACTCTCAGTTGTGTTTGCTGCATTTTAAATTTCTGTTAAGTGGTTCTAAATTGTGTTAAAATAGTCAGATTTGATTTGATTTTGTCTCCTTTAAAAAAAATTAGTGAAATACCTGTGTATTCGCACGGATACTGGAGTGATATGCACGATTTTATTTTCAAAATGTAATAAAAATATAAATAAAAAAAACAAAATAGTTTTATCAAATTTTTTTTATTATTTAAAAAAAATAATCATATTTTTAAAAGAAAAACAAAATTGTTTTACCTGAATTATTTTCGTTATTATTCAATATTTAAATCAATAGTTTAATATCAATATCATATCAATATCCATGTAATCACACTACTACTGATGTGGTACGCACGCTTTTGTTTTCAAAATATAAATAAGAAAAATAAAATTGTTTTATTAAAAGAGTTTATTATTTTTTTAAAAATACATGTTTTTAAAAGAAAAACAAAATTGTATTACATCAATAATATATATTTTAATTTTTCATATATCATCTTAAAAAATATTGTATTTTAAAATTAAAATAATTTCAAAATAAAAATATTAATAACATAAATAATTAAAAAACAACACATTTATCACGTATTTGGATTTGCACATGATTTTAAATATATTTACTTTTATTTTCTTTAATTGTAATATGCTCGAATTCTAACGTGAACACCCGTGCATTCACACTGTACTGATGTGTTACCTGTGCGTTCACATGGGTACTGATATATTATGCATGCTTTTACATTAATAATATATATTTAAATTTTTCATATATTATCTAACAAAATATTATATCTTAAAGTAAAAATAATTTCAAAATAAAAATATTAATAACATAAATAATTAAAAAACAATTTATTTTTCCTGTGTTTAAATTCATAGATGATTTAAAAAATATTTACTTATATTTTCTTTAAATGTATCTAAAATGATGGAATCCGTTCACATGAGTATTGATGTGATACACATGCTTTTATTTTTAAAATGTAATAAAAATGAAATGATAGCATGTGAAAATTGTTAACCAAAAAATTTATTAATTTTAAAAGAGATCATAAATCGGTGCTATAACTTTTTTTTTCTGTATATTAAAATAATTGAATCAACAATACATTTTTTCGTCTATAAATATTATTTTTATTTTGATATTATTTACTAAAATAATTGAACCAATAATAAATTTATTTCCGTTATTATTCAACTTTTATCAATAAATTCATTTTCCAGTATCATATAGTTTGCATATTAGAAGAAAATAAAATTTATTAAAATTTTAAATAAATATAACTTTCCTAATTAACTGTTATAACTTCAAGCAAACATCGAAATATTTATATTAAATAGAAATATATTTTTTTTTTAAAGAAATCAAAATGGCATATCATATACCGACTACACAGTATGGAATGTATCACAAAGGTCTCAAAAGTTTACAACGAAACACAGCAAATCATAGAGCGACAACTTCATTATAAACTTAGACAAATAAAGAGATTTTGCCACCAAAAATGAGATCTAGAATATTAATAACAATAAAAATATGAAATTAAAAAATAAAAATCATATATTAAGTTATTAAAATATTTGAAAAAACAATAAATATTTTATCAGTATATAAACATATTATTTTATTTTGATATTATTTATAAAAACATTCGAATCAACAAGTTCTCGTTTATAAAAATAATACTGATTAAATATTTTAATTAATTATAATTTACCAATTTTAAATATTTTAATTAATAGTTTCATTTTTCCCCTTTCCAATTTTAGAAGTATAGAATATAGAATTAGGAGAAAATAGAGAAAAATGTAATAAGAATGAAAATAATAAAAATGTAATAAAAATAAAAATAGAAAAATATAATAAAAATGAATATAATTCTAGTGGGATACACATCTATTCTTTTTAAAATGTAATAAAAAAAATTGTATAACCAAAAGGGTTTATTATTTATAAAAAAATATATTTTGTGATTATAAAATAAATAAGAATATTTCATATTATCATATAATTTTGATATTATTTAATTCATATATTACTTGTGTATTGTGTATATATTCTACATCATTCGCGATATTATATTTTATAATTTTATTAATTTTTATATTATAACATATTATATTTTCTAAATTTTCATTTTTCATCTGTCATATTAATATTGAAGTTCATTTAATTTTAGAATGTATAATTATTTTGTGCCAAAATAAAAGATTGTTGATTTAATTATATAAATTGCAATTAATAACATGTTATATATATTATAATATAAACACATTTAAATAATTAAAATATTTTTGTTATGTTTTCATTTTTCATAAATAAAATATAATATTATTGATTTTGATTTAACATGTTATAGTATTTTGTTTTCGACTATTATTTTTAACACGTGAGTTTACATTAAAAAAAAAAGTTTGTCCAATAAAAAAAATTGTGAGATAAAAAAAACAAACTTTGTCTATTTAAAGAAAATGGTCTTTTGAACTTTTCCAAAACATATTATTAAACTTCAATAATATTATTCACATTTTAATACGTATTTACAATTGCATTTTCATATTTTATTTGCATTTTATATATGAAAAAAGAAAATATTCTATATTTAATTCAATAAAAAAAAAAAAACACAAGTATTAGACCCATTTGAGATGTGGATTTGATTTGATTTGGAATATGAAGAAGAATATCGAAAACACGAAGGGTAGCATATAGATGAAGAAGAAATATTGAAGAGAAGAACGCACAGAGATGAAATATGTCTTTCCATTTCCTAAATCCACCATTATCATTCAATTCATTCTTTAACCTTGCACCAGTTTCTCTTTCACCATTGTTAGAATGTTTGTAACGTATTTCACACAATAAAAAGTAAATAACAAAAACGGGGTTAAAATCAGAAAGTTATCAAAAACAATCCACTTACAGTGAAGATAGTGATGCAAATAAAGGTGGTAAGCATCTAGATTTATAGGGAAAGGAAGAGGGCAAGTCGTTTGGAAGATGAAAAACAAGAAACGAAGGAAAGGATTTTGAAAAATCAATTTCTATTATTACCAAAGCAAGGAAAAGAGTAATTGAACATATTGGTCTCAATTGAAACAAAAGTTATAATGAGAGCCGTGAAAATGGCAAAATTCAATAAATCAGATTATTTTTTTATGGAAAGCATTTAATAAATTGGGCCAATGGTATGAAGACAAAAATAACCCTCATAAATTCAAAAAATAGTCATTTAACTAAAGCACAAAATTGAGCTTTTCACAACATACTCATTTCTTATATGATAGATTGTGATCCCCTCTTAATAGATTATTATGCTTTACACATGGAAGTCATTGAAGAGTGGTAAGAGAGTTCAAAGTAAAGAGCAAGAAGATAAAATGCAGTGAGTAAGAATCTCTTATACAATGAAAGAAGATTACACCAGTTATATAGTAGGAGGAAAGAACAACTAACTATATAACAGAAAGTGTAACTAACTATATTCTATTTGTGTCATCTATTAGCCCCCCACAAGTTGAACTTTGGTAAATGTTGATCAAGTTCAACTTGGCTTTGAGGAAGTGAAATGGTTTGGGTAGGAGAGGTTTAGTGAAAAAATCAGCATGTTGGTTGTTGGAGGACACCGGAAGGAGTTTCATCATGCCTGCTGAAAATTTCTCGCGTACAATGTGACAATCAATGTCAAGACGTTTCGTACGTTCATGGAAAACAGGGTTAGCAGCTATGTGGAGTGTGCTTTGACTGTCACAAAAGAGAACTGGGACTTGAGAGCATGCAATTTTCATGTCACGAAGTAAGTACAAAAGCCATTGGAGTTCACACGTGGCTGCAACTAAAGCATGATACTCTGCCTCTGAAGAGGAACGAGAAATAGTGGTTTGTTTCTTCGTTCTCCATGAAATAAGGGAGCTGCCCAAATAAAAACATGATCCGGAAACGGATTTACGTGTGTCTATACAACCAGCCCAGTCAGCATCTGAAAAACCTGTTATTTGTAGTGATGAACTTCGTGGAAAAAATAAGCCTTGGCCTGGACATTGTTTGAGGTATCGCAAAACTCTGCAAGCAGCGTTATAATGTTGAGTAAAAGGTTTGGAAAGATATTGACTGAGTTGTTGTGTGATAAACGTGATATCTGGGCGAGTAGTGTTGAGGTAGATTAGTCTGCCAATGAGTCGTCTATAAGATGGAACATCGTGATAAGCAGAACTATCATCTTGACAAAGCTTAAGTGATGGATCGGATGGTGTGTTTGCTGGTTTGGAACCAATGAAACCTGAATCCTTGAGAAGATCAAGACAATATTTTCTTTGGCAAATGGAGATACCACGTTTTGAGTGAGCTACTTCTAAACCCAAAAAATATTTGAGAATGCCCAAGTCCTTGATCTTGAAGAGCCGATGAAGAATATTTTTCATAGTTTGAAACACTTGTAGAGAGTTACCTGTTAAAATAACATCATCAACATAAACAAGTAAAATTGTAAAAGTGGAGGATGTTTGTTTAACAAACAGTGAATGATCAGAAGGTGCTTGAGAGTAGCCTTGATCAGTGAGGACTGAAGTCAATTTTTCAAACCATTGTCTGCTTGCCTGCTTTAATCCATAAAGTGACTTAATGAGTTTGCAGACCTGGTTAGGTTTG